TTGCCTGCGTAGCAAACGGCAAGACAAAGGCGCTGCTTTTCTGGTGACGGCGGCGTCAACATCAAGCACTTGACCCAAGATTAAGTTTTTGATTTTTTTTTATATAAAGCCCCATCTTAAAGGGATCCGGTAACTTTGTCTCAGATTCTGAAACAAGATTCTGGATTTAGTTCATGATGCAATGATAATTATAAACCTTTAGGTCAGTCAGGAACCCCATGACTTTTACAAGCCGATCGCCTGTCTGATTATGAAGATATTTATGATTGGAATTACAAATTTTGAAAACCGTTCGCCTGACGGTTTACATAACACTACAGTCTATTGGGGAAAACGAGTATGGTATAACCGGTCACTCAAAGATTTTTAATTTTTTGAGGCACTTCTTTCTTGATCATTTTGAAGCGCGATTTTTTTAGGGCTTCAACGTTACACCATATCACAGACACTGATAACATGTAGGACCGTGTATCTCAGATTTAACATTGTTAAACGATCCCTTTAATAGAGCTTTTTTGATCTCACCCAAGTGATATGTGGATGAGAAACAGTGGGGGGTCTGATCGTAAAACAAGGGGTGAGCAAAAACCTTACCCGGGTAGGTTACCATAACAACCGCCACCTGTCTCATGGCGATCAGCTGGCGCGCGATGTGTACATGTTTACATTTTTTCACGGTGATGACTTAATTTACCCAGGTAAAGTTTTGCGCGCGTCTTAAAAGGGCATGTTCCCCGTATTCCAGAGGGCGCTCAAAATACGTGCGCGCTAGTGGGAACGTGCCCCTTTAATGGGCCGTTTATCAGGATGTCGTGCGGACGACACCTCGATATCACCCTGGCTCGACTAGGGTGAGATTTACATGTACCTCGATATTGTATGGACGTTACCTCGGTTGACGCGTCTTAATTGGAAGTGGGTAAATGTCATCCGGACGACGTTCGGACGTCACCGCAACTTTATTTACCAGTTAAGAGGGGGTTTTATTTTGAAAGTACAAGTTCTAAATGAAACTTGGACTTGAGGGTTATCAAGTATCACCAATCATGTGAGTAGAATTTCAGGTCAAAGAGTCGAGTTTAAAGGTCAATTCAGGTAAAAAAAAAATTTAGACTACCGGTTTGTTGACAGTTGGGGCATCTTAATTTTTTTAATAATTTCGAACGTATAGGTTATTATTCCATGCAACTTAGACAAAAGGGTTATTAAGTATCCCCAATCATGTGAATAGAATTTTTTAACCTATCAAATTGCATAATGCAGACGAGACCGCCAAGAGCATTTCCCTTGTTAAAATAAGGGAAACGCTCGTGGCAGTCTCACCTGGTTGAAAAATTGAGGTTTGGACATTATTTATAGGCAGGGTGGACCATTAGCAGGCCCTCCAAAAAGAAATCCCTTTAAAATAATCAGCATTTTGAAGTGATTATTGACAAAGAATTATCAGAAGAATTATTTACTATAATTTGTACCAAGATTGATAACTTTAATGAAATATGAACAAATAACAAAAATGATTTATTAATTCTCATATTTAGTTGTGTACATGTTAACACAATGCAAGTTACTGACCTAAAATGACCTGTGACCTTGTGACCTGGAATTTATGACTTGTGATTTGTGACACTAAACCCCTGGGTACAAACTTCATGGAATTTGAACAAACACTTGAAATTATGCTAAAGATTCAAAATCTTGATGTTGATGCCACAACAAAGTCTAAGTTTGTTGACCTGAAATTGACTTTAACCTTAACTAATTGATCTGAAATTCTACTCACATGATCGGGGATATACCCTTTAGTCTAAGTTGCATGGAATAAGAACTTATACTTTCAAAATTATATTCAAAGCTCAAAAACTTACTTAACCTCAGGTTAAAGTTTTTGATGATGATGCCACAACATAGTCGAAATAAGTAAATTTGTTGAAATGCTAGCATGATTGGTGATACTTGATAACCCTTTAGTCCAAGTTTCATTACATAAGAACTTTTTGATATAGGTATATAGGAACTCAATGTTATTTTGCTCTTGGGGGGGGGGGAGGGGGGCAGTTATGAATATGTCTGGCAGTGAATTTTAATTGTTTTTATATGGGTTTAACGGGCGAAAAGAGACGGTCAACCAGTTTCACACCAAAATTGGCTAAGTAAAAAATAAAATTTGGTAGATAGAATTATACAAATTGATGAAAATATATTTAATTCATTTAAAAATTTGTTTAAAGATAATAACAAATGATTTAAAGTCCTCCCATTTATATACCAAAAAAGAAATGAAAACAAGAGAGAGTGGTGAATAAAAAGTCCTTCATGTACTCTAAAAGGCTAAGAGTGGATTTAGCCCGCTTTGGAATGAAACTCTTGATATACCCTGTACTTAGTACGAGAATAGTAAGGGTCCTAGGACTGTACCTTGTGGGAGGCAGTGTCAATGTGTTTCAAGTTTGGGGTTAGTGAGACTGTTTAGAGCAGTGAAAAGTCCTTAAATCGAGCTAAAAATTTGCTGATGAAATTAAGAGCCCGATATCGATATTGATAGCTTAAAACCACTGCAAACTAGAAAAAATAAAAATAAACACCTTTGTGACATTACCATACAGACATGATTCCACAATGATGATATAAAAATAGTTTATCAAAACTAAAGATATCATGACAAGTACAATAAATTTACACTTATCTCTATGGTCTCATAAAATAACTAATTTTACACAAAAGAATGTATGAATCACATAGTATTAAGGACCTGTTTCACATATTTTATGTGCTCGTTAGACGATGAATTAGCATCGTTCGTGCAGTGACTGTTTTAATTTAGCAACACTAACACCGAACTGGAAATCAACATTTGGTTAATCCCTAAAATCTCTTTCCATAATAAAAAAAAAAATTGAACTAAATCTTAAAATGTGTACATGTAAAATACTGAAAGAACGTATTCATTGTGTGTTATGAATTTAGATAACGTACAGGGACATGCAAGAGGCATACACAAAACCACATTTTATACATCATATTATCATTTGACAATTAAAAAAAAGATTGAAAAGAGCCTCTAACCATCAAGGCAGTAAGGTTGACCTTGATTTGAACTTTGATCATTGTAAAAAAAAATGCAAGAAGGTTCTTCAGTCCATTGTGGTTGGAGGTGAACATGCACATGTATCTACATGTACCTGTAAGTCCTGTAGTCAGACCGATATCTTTTTTCAGTGCTTTGATTAAGGGGTCAAATCTTATGGTTAAAGGAGAATAAACCCTAACAAACACCAGTTTGTAGCTGAATATAAAATATATTCAGAAGCAAAAATACAAGTATTTTAGCCTTTTCATACATGTACATTCCACATCAAAGACATGAAATCTCTTTGATAATAGAAAATATGAATGATTTAAATCAACATTTTATGCCTTTTAAAATAAGTTTCATAAATATTTTTGAGAACCCCCCCCCCCCCTTTTTTTTAAATATTTTTTTTAATGCTCTCTATCACCCCTGCATGTACATGTATATATGTAGGAAATACCTCAAAGCGTTTCTTTTTCTTTGTGGATTACACATTTTGTTATCTAAAATGCATACATAGCCATTGTACTGTTTCTTGTTTTTTAAACGATTTTGTTGTTCAATATCTGGAAGTGCTGGTCAGTTGATTATTAAAGTTTCGTAAAGGTTTATTAAAAGCAACAAATCTCTAAAATAAACAAGTATTACAACAGTGAGCTCAGTATGGTGACCCTTTCGGTACACTTATCAAATATCAGGCCTTAAATTTCAATATTTTTAGGGCAATGCCACTTTTCTGTAGGGTACATTCCTATATTACAGCACAAATAGGAAGAATTGGAAAGGGCACACACAATCTCCAAGGCCAATGAGAGGGGCATTGAGGCCAATCAAAGGGTCATCCAAGGCCTGGCCTTGGATGGCCTTGGATTAATTTATGCCCTGACTTATACATTTTTATTTATTTTATTTATTTAAAAAACAGGGTAGCCCATTCAACAATAAGTTGGTCTCCCATGGAGCCCTGTGATAATATACAAATCAAAGCATAATTGAACGATCAACATAAACATAAACATAAACATAATATAGGATCATAAATGAAAAGAAAATGGCAAGTAAACAAACAAACAACAAATGGTAATTCTCTAAAATAACAGAAATAACAAACATGTAAAAATTAGACTTAATATGAATACATTGGGAAATATTGCATGTGGTCGTATGGCGGACGCAAGAAAAATATTAGACTTATGAACATATAAACAATGACCAAAATAACTTGGGAATGAATTTAGAATAATCATTAGCCTGTAAAAGGATTCAGATCTTCAATGGTATTTTACATGTGCGTTCAAGTGTGCCCCCAAGGATCATAATTCACTGCCCGATAGAGTGGTGAAGTGTGATGTCATCAAATATCTATATTTAGATTTTCTCAATTTTCCGAAAGAGCATGAAAAATAACGTCCTAATGTTGAAAACTTATTGAACATGTTAAGTATTGGCTGAGATATGACCATCTGAATAAATAGATTTCCTACAGGAACTCAGTGTTATTTTGCTCTGGTTCATAACAATAAGAACCAGAGCAACATAAAATTGAGTTCCTATAAGAAATCTATTCATTCAGATGGTCATACATGTATCTCAGCCAATACTTAACATATTCAATTGGTTTTCAACATCTGGGCATCATTTTTTATGCTAACTGAGAAATTCTAAAAATAGATTTTTAGATGTCACAGCTTCGGTACTCTCTACTGTTCATTCATACAATGTTCTTCTTTCAATAGCAAACAAAGAGGCATCAAAGAGGGTACTTGCGGGGCACTGCTGGGCACCGAATGTAAAAATTGCAAACGTTTTTTAAAAGAGGTACCTTAATGGAAAATCAAACATTTTAAACAACAATAGCTAGTTAGTCTTGTTTACTCAGTAGTGATTATTACTTGTACTTTGATCCTCTGATTTCATTGTATCTTTTCAGGTTCTAATACCAGGAGATTAGGCCCACTCATGGGCAGGACTCCCAGTGAGGATGCCAAGAAGTAAGTACCTCAAAAGCTCTGGAGATCACCTAATGAACACTCAAATTTAGTAGTTTTCTTAACCACGTTTAGTTGTTTAATTCTAGTCTTTCTCACCTTTCTTTGTGACCGGCTGGTATGAAAATTGTAATCTGATATTTGGTGAGCATACAGTGTAGATTTGAAATTAAAAAAAATTGTGGGCCAAAGATAGACCCTTGAGGAATGCCAAGTAAAGCTGACATTGGATTCCATACTTTTGAAGTTGGAAGAGAAATTGGTGTTGAGCGTCTTTATCGAAGGCCTTGCATAAGTCTAGAATCAAGACATGGTGCGAAACAGCCTGATGAAATATTTGTACCAATAAGGAAGTAACAGTGACAGGGATAAGGGGAAATGATTGAGATAGTATGGACATGTGAAGAGGAATGAAGAAGATGAACTAATTAGATGGGCAGCAGAGAGGAAGGAGAAGGAGAAAGAAAGGAGGACCAAAAAAGAGGTGGATAGATTTTCATATCTGCAAACTTTCTCTCATGGTCACTCTTTTATCAATCTTGTCGTGATAAACACAGACACTGACAGCGGTAGCAGCAACACCGGAATAGTGACACGCTCATCAGCATCTCTCATCGAAGGTGATGTTGGAAACCACCTTCAGCTGACTGTTCCTTGTAAAGTGACGTTAGACAAACTTAGGCAATCTTCAAAGAAGCTTGTATTGAAGCATGGCAGTGGGTAAGTTCAAACTTCAGTGACACAGGTGCTTGTGAGCTTAGAATGCATCTGGAAACGGTTGCATAAAACCTACCATTGATGGTAAATTTGCCATCAATGGCAAGTGCCATGGTAACAGGGCTCAACAGCCAATCAAAATCAAGGTTTCCATAGTAGTTACCATTGATGGCAAAGTTACCATCAATGGTAAATTTTGTGCAACAGGGCCCTGGCATTCACCTTCAGATTCATGCCTCCTCCTTCTCTTTATATTAGATGATACCTGGGACATTGTGCATTTTTGTTGTTGTGTATGTGTTGTCCATTTTTAAATGGGAAATAAAAGTATGCTTCACAATGTAAAGCTCATAGAGGTCGAAAGAGACATGATTAGCTTCATGAGCTGAATATTATTTTTTTTTTAAATTCTAGAATATTTGTGTGGGCCTTAGTGGTAATAATTGAACTGCAGGAGCCGGGCTATTAATGTTCATATCTGGAAAGATGAAGGCAAAGACAAACAGATCCCTTTTTTCTGTCACTTTTACCTTCTCCATTGGTTTACATGAACATGAAATCTCTTTGGTAATAGAAAATATGAATGAATCAACATTTTATGCAACTTTTACAAACTATTTTCATAGATGCCAACGACTTTCCATAATTGTTAAGTCCAGCTTAGAGATAAGTTCAACTTAGGATCTTTGTGAAACACCTCCCAGCTGTGATAGTCATACAGGTATATAGTTATCAGTCTGGATTGGGTGAACTAATGTGCCTTCTAATAATTTATCTCACGAAAGTTACTACACTATAACACTTTCCTTCGATTCTACCTTCTCCACTGGTTTACCTTTTGATACATGTGTACCTCTGTAAGTAGCTCTGCTGTGAGGCCTAAAATAAAAACTTGTTGTACATGTATTGCCCTTTGGGTGCCAAAACATTGGTCGGTCGGTCAGAAAAGTTTTTTTTCTTAAACTTTTTTGTCAATATTTTCAGAATTGATTTTTTTTTCTTTTTCCCCGCCCTCTTTTAGCTGATTTTTTCTCAGTTTTTAATGCTTTAATACATGTGCTTCAGCGTCACCATATCATTGATATCTTTTTCACCTCATAATTATCCATGGTTTGCACGAGTGAGAATTTTGGAATAATTTGATTTTATGCATTTATATCCCATTTAAACAAATATATATATTTTTATTCATTAATAAAAAAAAATAATCTAAAAAACGGTTTAAAAAAAAAAAACTTTTTTAAAATGCCAACCGTAGATTTTCAGATTTTTGGGTCGGTCGCAAAGGGCAATACCAGACCTGACAACCAGTACAATTTAGTTGTATTTAGTACGATTTTTAGAAGCAAATACGACAGTACGATTTTCTTTTTTTTTTTTAATTAATATTTTGTGTGTCCGTCCGCCATTTGCAATGGCAAAATGCCCATTCTGTTCTATAAAGCATCTCACATCGGCAATTTGGGGATGTTTATTGGTTCATCGAACACACCAGTTGTGACGAAATAATGCATACATTATTCAACCAATGATCAATAAAAAAAATTCTTCCTGTAGGTAGAAACTGTAAGAGGCATTGATCCGCGTAACAATCTGTGTTTATTTTCAAGAATACAACTTTTGTCAGTAAAATACAACTTTTGACACTTAAGAATACAGTTTTTGAACTCCAGAGGTTGGCAGGTCTGCAATACAACAAGTTTTTATTTTAGGCCTGATAGTCATACAGGTACCTTTATATACTTATCAATCTGGATTGGGGGAACTAATATGCCTTCTAATAATTTATCTCACTAAAGGTACTACACTCTAACAAGAGGTGAATCACTAAGATACAGAATTGAAGGAATCAAAGTCCTGAGAACAAAAAGTAAGTATAAAGCCTTCTCAATAGTTTTTTAAAATGATCGCAAAGTATGCCAAGAAGGATCTTTCAAATAATAACATACTTGAGTAAAATTTGCATAAGTTGCAACCTCTGTACGGTATGCATACATTTAATTCTCTAACCCAATTGTCAGTTAAAATCTCATGTTTTAGCATAATACCAATGTGTACATGTATGTGAGTTGACTCTTGGCTCCTTTTAATCACATTTTAATCACATTTTAATTTCTTTTTGCCAGTCAAATCACAGATTGAACAACATGAAAGTAGAAATGTCTTTTCCATGTTATGTAGCTGAATTCGATTTCACTGAGAGGCCTGTAGAGTGCAGACCTTGTTTTTTTGTTTACCATATGACCTTGATGAATCTGGTCGTGAAGAGTTTTTCACATGGATGATAATGCAAATAAATAAAAATGCTCAGTAAATGCTACAGTGGGGTTTGGAGACCGTAGTGCAATTCAGTCTCAAAGTTTACAGGGCTTTTATTATCCCTTCGCCCACGAAGTTGGAGGGATATATTATTGCTGCCGTCCGTCTGTAACAAATCAGGTTTCTGTCTGATAACTTTAATAATGTTTGACAGATTTAATTGAACTTTGATGAGAAGGTACGTGGTATCAAAACACAGCTGAAGTTTAATTTTGGAGTTTGTAAGTGAAAGGTCAAAGGTCATAGCTCATTAAATATGCAAAAATACAGTTATATATGCAAAAATGTGGTTGTCATTCTATACTGTAAGTAATGTTATTTAGTACGTCAAAGGTCACAGCTCATTAAATATGCAAAAATTGCTAATTAAGATTTGCTAATCTAAGCTAAAATGTGGTTTCTGTTTGGTGGATTTTGATAGAACTTTGTAACTGTAGACCAAATTTACATGTTGCATTTCACTGTTCTTTAATTTTGTCTCCATCTCATATAATATACTTCTTCTTCTTCTGTAAATCCCTAATTTTATTCACATTCTTTTTTTAAATCCCCAAGCATACCAATTACAATAAAGTTTATTTTCAGATCTTCTCATGGGTCATATTCCATAAAGTAGTAAACTTTCTGTACATCCAATCCCCAGGTATTATTAACTTCCTTGCCTCGTAATATAATAGTATAGTCTAACTCTAATAGAGGTAAGTTGTTCTGACGTACTGTATAGGCCATCTGTACCCGGCGAGGAGATGCTACGCTTTGCGTTAACTTGTTTTTCATCTTTTTGTTTACATCAGATCGATCGATGCCAACTGCAACTCAAAAAGGCGGGAGTAAAATGAATCGACCCGACCCCAGGGATAAGGGGTATCGCCACATTCCTCAATCCAGGGAATCCGGCTTTTCAAACAATTCCTATGGAGACTACCATAAGCAGGGTCAATTTGATGGGAGGTATCCTGGTCCCTATAGAAGCAGAGGACAAGATAATCGGTTTGAACAAAGAAGGCACTGGTCTCCGCGCGGCAATTATGGAAACCGAGGGAGCAGAGACCCGTATGGCAGAGACTATAATAATTCCAGGGAACATTTTGGAAGGAGGGCATCGTCTTATCCTGACGAAGCTATGGGGGAAAGGAGGATAGCATCTAGTGAAGGTAGATTTGAGAGATTTCCTCCAGGAGATAGGGAATCATCACTTGGGTCACAAGATCGCCCTGGGAGGTACCCTGATCAACATGCCGAGAAGAGGAGGCACCTGAGTGGTTCCAGTTTGGATGAACAGTCTTCTAAATCATTAGCATCAACGTACAGGAGAGCTGGCATAGCTGAACAGAGCAATCATGCAGTATCACTGAATGCTTGTGAGAAAGAGGACTCTAATCAATCGAATAAGGAACCCAAAGAGAATGTATTAAATAACGACAGGACTACACTTACCCTTACCTCATCAAAGGACAAGGCAGGCTCTCCTGCAGACTCACAAGGTCTTTCAAATTCTCATGAAAGCAAAGCAACCCAGAAAACTCCAACTGCGACAGCAAAGCCAAATACTAATAAGCATAAAAAGAAAATGGTATTGACGATGTCACAGCAGATAGAATCACTTAGGAGCTATTCACCTAAGGCTAATGTAGTAGAAAACAAGGAAATGTCGGCCGAAAATTCTGAAGATGCTAATGTAGAGACTTCAACAACTGGTAATGGGGAAAATCACAAAGGAAGCCCTCACCGAACTGAAATTTCTATACCAAAGCACATAGATGGGAAAAAGCCTTCAGCAAAAGGAACAGAGGCCACCAGTTCATCAGGAGAAGCTGAAAGTGCATCCACAAGTCCAAGGAGAGTCCACAGTGCCAGGAAGAGTGTTCCATCATCCAGTGTGAGCAGGACACAGAAAAGTGACATGCTGAAGAAACAAGCTCTCTTGCGGTCACAAAGCGATCAAAACCCACCAGCTGCCAGCAATGCCTCAAGTAGACCTACTGCAAGGATGGGTATGAAAGAAACAAAATCTGGTGAGAGAGACTCTGATCAAGGAAGTCCCATCGTTGTTGTGGAAGGAAAGGATGCATCGGTGCCTACAAATGATGATACCTCAAGAATAAAAGAGGTTTTTACACCACCCCCGGTTGACGACATCGTAGTTCTATCAGACACAGAGGACAACATAATAGAAATAAGTTCACAAGACAAAGGTGAGCTTGCCTTTTACTTGATACATTGTAGTACTCTACTAGATTTACCTGAATCAATAGGAATTACATGATGAATTGAAATTGAATTGATCCATGAAGTAATAGTTCAGAGGGTCCTCAAAGTGTGAACTTATTGATTGATTAATGTCTTTATTTTCATTTAACAATTACAATAGTACTGGGAAGAACCTTATGACATGAAACAAAAAACCTTGTGGAAAATATGTTGGCACCACCCCGTAACATGTATTGTCTTTACCCTATACCTAGAGTCTAGGTTGATGATTAACATGTTTTACCAAAGGGTAGGGAGTATATCTTTCAAAATACAACTATTCAATTAAAGCTGAACATTGCTAATTATTCTTCAAGCATTCCGTTGTGAAGAATGTGAAGTGCTACTAAACGCTGTGTGACTGATATGGACAAAAAAATTCTAATGATAATTTTCCCCTTTCAAATTTTCATGCCCCCAATTTCAAACTTGCCTTTCAAGTCAACTGTGCAGTATGGTGACCTACAGCATTGGCAGTGCTCTTCTTTTTATGATTAAACAATACATGTGTTTTCTTTCTTTCATATACCTTTAGGTTCCACTAAGACAGGGACAGGTGATGCCAAAACATTGACACCATCTCCGAGCAATGCCAGCACATCAGGTGGAAATCTGACAATGTCCTCTGAGCTACACTCCAAAGTTGATGACAAGGCTTCAGCACAAAAGGTCACCTCTGAGGAAAGTGTACTCCAGAACAGTCAAGATGTGGAGCAAGGAGATAAAGTCCAGAATATGACATCAGATGAGGCAGCAACTTCTGAAACCAGGGATGCTGTGAAGGTTGATGACCCTAAGAGGAGTCTCGATGTTGAGAAGATAACAGGAAAGGGGCTGTTAAAGATAACAGAGAAACTGAAGAAGAATCTGTTAAAGGGAAAGGTTTCGCCTCAGACTTCATCTCCCAGCAGCAGGGTAGGATCACGATCAAGCTCCAACAGTTCTGTGGAGAGTCCGATTGACACTACTAAAGTGACTGACCAAGCAGACTCTCACCAGAGGGAAGTGGATGACGGTTCTGTTGCCACTTCTACCTGTTTAGAAATCCCCAACACTGAAGGTCAAGTGTCTTCAGGAATCCCAGACACTGTGCCAAAAGTTGATGGAAAGGAGGTCTGTGAAGACAATATTATACATGTACCAAAACTTAGTGCACCATGTACAGGAAACAACAATGTTGCAGACTGCATAGCTGTGGACATGATGGATGATGATAAACAAGCTTCACAATCCGATGATCTTCATTGCATAGGTGGGGACACCCAGCCCTTTCTAGTTTCCACTGAACCTGCAGCCGATGACACTGACCATATATGCAATGATGTCTTAGATGACTCCTCTAAGATAACTTCTCCTCCTGAGAAATCTGATTATGTAAATAGCCCTGTTGTAGGTGATGAAATTCTTCAAACGGCTAGTTCCCTTCCCAAGCAATCTGAAGAAGCATCCAAAAAAGATGATTCAACCCTTGCCAAGGTTGGTGACTCGGTCGGAGACGTTGAAGACCTGAGTGATGGTAGCGTTGACTTAGGACCTCATGAACCTGGTGATATGGACTCTGTCGATGATGACCTTCTCTTGGAGGATGAGCCTGTTATGATCTCTGAACTGTACAACCCAGAACCAGAAAAGATGGACACCTCTGAAACCCCAGAACCACAGGATTCTCAGGTCTCTGAACTCCCAGAATCACAGGAGGTCTCTGAGGTCTCTGAACTGGCCATAGCTCGGGTAGAGTCCCAGAGTGAAGATGTGCTTCAGCAGGTAGTCTCAGATCAGCCTTCCTCCTCCTCGAAGCGGACCTTGACAGAAGATAGCGAGGATGCTGAGGAAGGGCCGGTCTCTAAGAAGAGTCGCACAGAAACTGCAGATATCATCGAAGGTGAGCTCAGTTTGTTTGTGTCCTTTGAACATTGTACTTTGTATAGTGCTTGTGAAGGAGTTAACTCTTTCTCTTCATACGTCTGTTGAAATTAGCACTGCTGTAAATGTCCATGTATAAGAAGCACCTATTTCCCGCCAAAAAAAAAATAATCTCAAGTCGGGGGTGTGTCTTATACATGTATACAATAATTATTATTATTATTATTATTATTTTATTTATTTTTATGCCTCCGTTACGAAGTAGCCGGAGGCATTATGTTTTTGGGTTGTCCGTCCGTCCGTACGTCTGTACGTACGTACGTCCCGTTCTCGTGATCGCGTTATCTCAAGAACCGACTGATGGATTCCTACCAAACTTTGGTCATGAATGTAACTTGCAGAGCCAATGAACTGATTAGATTTTGGGGTCACGAGGTCAAAGGTCACAGGGCTCATTATGTATGCAAAAATAGCTTGTGATCGCGTTATCTCAAGAACCGACTGATGGATTCCTACCAAACTTTGGGAATGTATGTAACTTGCAGAGCCAATGAACTGATTAGATTTTGGGGTCACGAGGTCAAAGGTCAAAGGTCACAGGGCTCATCATGTATGCAAAATAGCTTGTGATTGCATTATCTCAAGAACCGACTGATGGATTTCTACCAAACTTTGGGAATGTATGTAACTTGCAAAGCCAATGAACTGATTAGATTTTGGGGGTCACGAGGTCGAAGGTCAAAGGTCACAGGGCTCATTATGTATGCAAAAATAGCTTGTGATCGCGTTATCTCAAGAACAGACAGATGGATTCCTACCAAACTTTGGTCATGTATGTAACTTGCAGAGCCAATGAACTGATTAGATTTGGGGGTCATGAGGTCAAAGGTCACAGGGCTCATTATGTATGCAAAAATAGCTTGTGATTGCATTATCATTAGAACTGATGGATGGATTACCATCAAACTCAAGACATGTATGTATTTTGTATTTGGGGTCATGAGTTCAAAGATCAAAGGGTCATACATGTGAGAAATAGCTTGTAATCACGATATTCTGAGAACCTGTTAATGGATTACAACCGAACTTGAATTTGAAATATTTCTTCCGTTTTGGTTTGTAAAATTGCTCTATGACGGAGGCATCACTTTCGACTGTGCGCAGTCGAAGTTCCATCTAGTTTTTTAAGTGTTGATTTATGCCCCTCCACCTGGCACTGTGCCTGGCAATGTCTCCCAGCTCTGTCATACATTTTGTGTTGACTCACCACTCAGAAACTAGAACAACACTTCCTGTATGGCTGGATTTATGTTTGGATAAAGAGGAAAATTTGTCCGTCTTCTTTAGTTTTAAAAACGACATTGTTACACAAATCGGCGCCTTAAACTGCACCTCAGTAAAATAAAGGTCCTTCTCGCATGGTTTTTTTAACACTGAGTTTTTTTTTTTTTTAGGGGGGGGGGGGGCAAAAAAATAGGGGTGCGTCTTATACACAGAGATTTACGTAATAACCATCTTTGTATTCCTGGTAGAGTACTGGTCATCTGCAGTTTTTATGTCAACTAAGTCCAGTAACAAATTCTTGGTTTTTGTTAATTTCTGTATTTACTGAATGAGCTATGAACATATGAATGCATGCACCGTATACACTGGAAGTGGACATGTAAGTACCTGAAGTACAGTACTATTAGTTCAAATTAAAATAGACTGATACAAACAAGGATGTACACTGTACATGTATGCTTATCTGGTTGCATTATTCCTCTAGCCCATTACATGTAGCTTTTGTTGTACACATCTTTTGGTTCTTTGCAGTTTCTGGGAAAATAATGACTTTTTTCTAAGAAAAGTGGTCAATAGAGTCTTAGCTGGATGTACAATATATGCTAAAGTCTATCCTAATCTGATAATCCTGTAATTGTTCTTTCCGGACATTAAACTTGTCTCTTTGTCCCTGTAAAAGTGTAAGCAAGATGAAGCTTTTTGTATGAAATGGCACAAGCCCTTTTAATCTGAATGTATCTTTTGAATGGATCACCTTGGTGATTAAGTGAAAGGAAAGCATGAGTCAAATAAGCAACTTCAACGATCCAACCAAATTAACGTTGTGCTTTTATACCTAGGTCCTCTAAATTGACATTTAACATCTGTAACTTTCCTCATGACAACATACAAAGGAGCTATTACCAAGCTGCCTCTAAAAAGCTCAACAAAAATATTTGGAAATAAAAACGAGCTTTTGTGAAAGAACAAATCCTTTAAAAATCTCATCAGGGAAGATTTTGTTTGTACAATTTTTTTACTTCAAAGGACAGATCATATTACTTAGCCCTTGAAGTTTAGTTGAATCCCCTTTGGGTGGCCTTACCAAAATTCCCTTCATCTACAAATTACACTGTTTATGAAAAGCTTTGTTGGTGACTGAAATTTATCCAAGGTGTTCAAACTTAAATTCTTTGTGCTACACCAGAAACTTTTAGTTGCCTGTAATACCTTGGTCACACTGCCAAACCGACTCTACCCATACTCCCAACCTTGGCCAATCAAGGTAATTTTTTTATTGTCTGGTATCGGATTTGGTGCTGCAGCTGATGTATTACTATCTTTTTTTCACACTGAGCCGATCTATAAAGATCAAATCAAGATTGGAAACAAAACAAACACCCCTAAAAACACATTTGAGATTTAAGAGCTAGGGTTTTTTGTCCTTGGCCTAGGCTAAATATGAAGTATGTTGACCAAATGTACTAATCTCTCTACAGGTATCGAGATTCCGGGCACTGGAGAAACTGCAGACTCGGATGCAAATAAGAAACCTGTCATCTTTACCCACAGTGTAAGATATCTGTTTTTTTAAATGCCAAACATATACGCTTTCAGCTGTGATTCCACTTCAACCAAATCTTTAATGACATCACATTTTTTAATGAGTTAATAGTTAAAAGCTTAAATGTCAAATATATCTTATCTGTAATACAATTGTTATTGTTTTGGCATGACATATTTCCTCTTCAGCTGACATTTAAAGGGGACTGTAGTGACAAAAATTAGTAATATATTAAATATTGGGCAAAAAGAATTTCCGTTTCGGTTTAATAAAATTTGGAGTGGACTATTAGATTATTATTATTATTATTATTTATTATTATTATAAGGAAACATAAAATCACATCCCCCAAATTAACCTGTACATGTATAGATACATTAAAGGATTGAAGACCAGAGAGAAATGGGAGTATGAAAAAGAAGATTGGTAATAGTCCTTTAACCCTTACTGTACTGGGCTATTTCGAGCACTCTCTGACTATGATCTCGGCCGTCGAATGTCCGATGAACGCGAAAATTTGCATGTTTGTAGATATTTACGTAAGGAACAAGATGGTATAATTAGTTTTTTCCTTATATGCAAATTTTTGTCGTTATAGCCTAATTAATTATGCAAAATGCTAATTTTATGCATTTTATAGAAAACTCAACATATTTGTCCGTAGACATGTGAAGAATCTTGAAAATGTATTGAATAAATGTTTCCTTCATCTTAAATTCATGAGGTTTCATTATTTTTATGATATTTGAAAATGCATAGGTTAATTTGCATAAATTATGAATACACATTCATGAATATCAAATCTGGAAATATATATAGGGAACTAGAATCATTACAAAAATTGTCAGACTCCACTTTTTGAATGTTGAAACTCAGTATTCATATGAAACTTCTTTTCTAACACAAAATACATGTAGTTATTGATGTAATTAATAATGATAATTTATGCAAATTTGATACGATTTTCAACTATTTATTTTCTTTTGTATTTTATTGTTTTTTATTTCTTATTATATCTATTGTTTTATTTCTAATGCATTCTTTCATTCTGAAATACATCAAGTTACTTTGAGAAACATAAAAGCAATTTGATATCAATTCATGTCTTCACATTTCTGCTTGTACATGAATATATGCAATTATAGCACTTTTTTGATGACATGTGCATATCAATTGTTATGTAACACCTTACAGGTATACCCGATTCGACGAAAATGTTATCAAAATGTGCGTAAGACTTGAGGGAAAAAAGTCATGAAACGACAATTCAAAATTCCGAGCGGTTGCGGCGCGATCTCCGAAAGGGGGGGGGGGGGGCCTCCCAGTACAGTAAGGGTTAAAGCTGTAGTTTGCATGTTGCTTCATATTACACTAAAGCTATATTTACAGCACTTGAGTCACATATGCATTGATTTGACATTTACATCTTCTATTGAATGTTTCAGAACAGCTGTTTGGCAAGCCTATTTTTATAATGTTGGGTATTAAATGACATGATATCGTCTTTCCTTTACCATCTTTAATATTTGTGTAGCCATCTTCTGCCATTGTCATCATTTCCCATATCATGGAACCTGTCCTTGAGGTTAATGGGTACCTGGCAGGAATTAATTATTTGAAATGCTGGAGGGCTGTAATGGCAGCTAGGCTACAGCCGGGATAATAATTAATGCGCCTCGGAATAGAATTTCTAGATAAACGGCGCTATAGAAACGCCTATAAACTATAATTATTATTTTTATCATTACTAATTTTTGTTTTATTTGCCCATGAAGGAGTGGAAGGAGTTTGCTCAGTCAATCAAGGAAAAGTATGAGAAGTTAGTCCAGACCTTCAACCAGAAGACTAACGTCATGTACGAAGCCCAGGCCCACTGGCAGCAGGAAACCGTCACCTGGAAAAAGAACTATGAAGAGCTGGAATGCAAGTATGAAAATCTTGCCCTCCAGGTGAAGGAGGTGAGTGAACCTAAGTGGTTTCTTATCTTTGGTAACTGTTCTTAGTACATGGTTCTTGCTAGTGCATAAAACCCTTGGTGTTAACCCAAAGCATAGGAAATCAGCCCCCCCCCCCCCCAACAAAAAAATACAAACATTCAAATATACAAACAATACCAACAACAAAAAATTGCCCAGAGCAAAAATGTTCTGACAAGGTATCGGGAAAAAGTAATAAATACTGTTTTGTTAGTCCTCCCACACTACTTACGGAGGATGTCAAAAGACCATATGTCATCACTTGGTTTTTTCCTCATAATTGTAAGAAAGCAATAGCAATCGCAATCCAACCCCAATCGAGTCCCAATCAAGTCTCGGCCATTGCGCCAATGTCCCTTGGCAAGGTATTAATCTGCTATGGCCACTCTTGACCGAGGTGAAGTAAATTGGACTTGATTCCTTGAGAGGAGCAAGAACGATCAGTGGAGCACAAGGGTTGTAGAGTGATCATTGCTATACAAGAAGCCACTCTACCTTACTATCATTATTATTTATCACCATACAGAAGTCTGTGGCTGAGAAGCAGAACGTTGGGTCACAGACGACTTTTACGCATAAAACCAAGCTCTCACGGAAGAAGAAAGGGGGAACCCGCCAAGCACCCCAGGAAACGCCCTCCCAAGAAGAAGAAGCTATGGTAAGAATGATGATTGTGGAACCGTAAATAGAGAATGATGAAGAGTACCATACAACAAGAGCTGTAAGACCCCTATACAAAGGGCTCTGGAAAATGATAAGGAGTATTTATAAACGCTCCTAACCTGATATCTCTCACTGTCTATGATTAACAGACAAGCTCTTTGAGACTAACTGAAGTTACATTGATGTTTCGCTAGGGGATTGAAAAGGGTACCTTTAGATCTTCTGATTTACCTATCTTGTCACAGGCATCATCTTGGATCACTTTGGGATCACACCTTCTGACTTCACTGCAAGACAAAAAAGCACTCTTTGACATTCAATAATCAATATATGGAATGTTCCACTGGTTGTAGGTCTGTTGTGGCAACATTGACATACATGTAGCAGGTGGTAAACAGTTTGATCTTGAGCATTTTACATATTGTTTGTTACCAGGTAATTGTTTATGTAGGCCAAATAGCACTTTTCGTCATTCGATAAAGGGTCGAATTGCTAAATCAAGTTCCTCATAATTTATTGCTTTTTCTTAGTCAACCAGTTCATTGACATAGTTGTTGGAAAATCCTTGACATTTAATCTTTTGCATGCTCTTGACAGGAAACTGAACAGGGTACTACTAGTTCTTCCGATGCGCCTGCATCATCATCAGGACCACCACCAACTCAGACTACCTCAGACTGTTCACCTTCTGCTGCAGCAACATCCTCAAGGTCTAACAGCGATCCTGTCTCTCCTGGAACTCTTAAACCAACAAACCTGGAATCCAAGAGAAAGGTCTTCAAAGCTACGCTAAACAAGGTCATGCAGAGACAAAAGGTAGGAGAAACCCTTGAACCTGACGGGGGGGGGGGGGGGGGGGGGGGGGCTCCGTTTCATAACACTTTCAGTCAAGATCAAGTTACAAAAATTGATGTAACTTACCGAACTTGCCTGTGATTGGTTTTGGGTGTGAGCAAATTTGTTGAAGACTTGTAGTTTTTGTTTTGAAATAGTGAATGAAAGTGGACCCAGATTTGGCAAGACCTATCATTTATCAAATAATTCAGGTTTTGTGCTGTTTAGAAACAGAAATTTACCTAAGATGATTCTGGAATTTCTCCTTGGAAAGTTAGAGAAAATGCTCCTTGTAATTTGTGCACTATTCAATTTTTTGTTTCAGATTGTTAGAAAGTGAACCACAATTTGATTGTATAGCCAGGAAATTCTCATAGAAGTGATCATCTGGGTTCCAGATCCAATTCCTTGGGCCATTGCGCTTGGATAAGACATTCATTTGACTGCCAAGTCCCTTGGGTGGTATGTAAAACTTTAGGTCCCCCTTAGAGATCTGACAAGCAAAAATGCTTAATTTCAGAGTACTTGAGAGATCAATTTCTACTCTTCTCTCCACATCTTTCTATTCATTGAATGGAGGTAGTCAAACCTGTCTATAGCGACCGCCCAAGGGAAACACAAAAAGTGGTCTTTGTAGACAGGTTCCTTAAGTACATGTTTCAATGAGAAACAATTTTTAAGGGAAACAAAAAATGTGCTTGTTGTAGACAGGTGGTCACTAAAGTAGGTTTGACTGTATCAGTTAATTTATAAATCACACATGGTCAAAGAGTTTTCATGTTAGTCACGCCCTTTTCAATGGATTGCTTTACAGAACTTATCTGGAGCAAGTGAAGCTGGGACTTCATCTGACGCTCCCTCCTCAGGAAAGTCCTCTCCGGTTGTAGCCTCACCAATGAAGACATCTACTACCAACGAGTCCACAGAAGAACCTGGTTCATCCGATGGTGCAACAGCCTTGACCCCAAAGACAAACCAAACAGTTAGTAGAGACTCCCCTATGGACACCTCACATGCTGGGAGTAAGACAACCGATTCCCCTGCTGCTAATACTACATCCACTGAATCAATGGTGAGTGAAATGTTTGTATGTGAGTGATGAATTAATTGGTATCATGTTTGACTTGCCATTGCAGGGTATTGCCATAAGCAAGGCAAACCATCAAATGCTAGGTAGAGTCCGTTAGCAACGAAAAAAATACACGGTGGCGACGGGCGATTCGCCCCCTAAACCTCTGAAATCGCCACGGTAAAAATCAAGACGAGGGCGAAAAAAAATCAATATATCTTGAAAAATCGCCCCCGCCATGAATTGATATTCCCTATGAATTAATAAACCAATTTATTGATGTGTCTGAGTGAAATCTCCGTTCCAACTACCAACTCCAAAACTAGAAACTTCCATCAACATTTTAAAAGTTTTGTGAGTTGCAGCGGATCGGCGGTCGTACCTACTGTAGCTAGATCTACAGCGGTATCCACCTGCCTGAGCTGCGCCTAAGCCCCCGGCGGCCGGACAGGCCACCGGCCCCGATGTAGTTTCGTGCACAGCATGAATGCATACGCAGTTTGCACACGTTCACAATACACAGAAACGTACTAGCTCAGCTCCAGCGCGCGGCCGCACGCTCCTTGTAATGAAGCAAATAAGTATTTGCGAGTGACGAGAGCTCAACTGCTAGCGACCAAATTGGTACGTAATATGTTTATTTAGTCTTTTTTATGGCCCTAATTTTTATCATGGACAATGCAATCCCATTAAAAAAAATGTTATTCCGTCTAAAATTGTGTTATTTATAAGTTAAAACCATTAAATGCGAGTATATTTTTACTGTTGTCCCACATACTGATATATTTGTAATAACGAAACGTGCAAAATCAATGACGGATTTTTTTCCCTGTAAAATCGGTATAAAGCAAGTTTCGTACACAGAAATTGAATTTTGTTATAAAAAAACCGTAAATAAATATATAAAGGATGTTCCTACTCCTCAGAATCTTTCTTACAACTGTTTAATTAAATTAAATTATTTATATACGATCGATGCCAGGCCAATTGTCATGAGTGATGATGACATCAATTTCTGTCTACGAAATGAAACTAGCTTTGGATTGGCCTTTAGAATTAGAGTCTATAAAAAAAAAATAAGGCCATGATTTTGCATGTTTCGGCATAACAAATAGACCCTACATCGGTATGTGGGACAACAGTAAAAATATTTACTCACATTTAATGGTTATAAATGGTCTAAATAACACAATTTTAAAGGGAGTTGGTCTACATTTTTTTTTAATGGGATTGCATTGTCCATGATAACAATTAAATTTGGGACAGAAAAAAAGCCTAAATAACATATTACCTACCAATTTGGTTGCTAGTAGTATGATGGCTAAGGAAAAACACAACTTATTGTTACAGCTTACAATATGGCTTTAAGGAAGTAGCCCCTTGGTTTTTTTTTAGGCAATGGGGAAAAGTAGCCCCCATAAACAAATTAATTCCTAGCCCGCGTGTCAGTGATAATATTTTCTTAGGATATGAAAAACGAACAGTTAAACAAAACACTCCTTTTGTTTTAGTTACATGTATATGTAAATCATAAAGCCACACGTTTAACACAAAGTGAATAAATCATGGGTATCTGAATGTCTGCAATACTCTACATGACATATGTACGCTATAATTGTATCTATATTTGCCTTTGCTTGGAATTTAATTGGGTAAAACCGCTTTTAAAAAAAATACAACCTTTAAAAAAAAAAAGCCCCCCTGAGCTCCAAAATAGCCACCGCAAAATAATTAAGGGGGGCTATTTTTTTAAGGGAAAATCTGAAAACAGCCCTCGTAAAAAAAAAAGTAATTTTTTGGTTGTCCGTTAGTATTCTCAAAGGAGGAGAACTTCATTGCATAATTGTTATCGTAAAACAAAATTACCATACAACATCAATTTTTTCCCTTTTAATTCAAGCGAAAGCTTGATTAGGATACTTGGAGCAAAGATCTTCTTACAATATGGTATAAACAGAATGTATCACACTGTAAGAGAGGATTCATGTATTCTGCTTTCAGTTCATATATTGTATCCATGTATGTTAAGAAGAAAAGGCACATGCCCTCTTTTTTATTATTAGTCTTTACATTTATTGGATTTCCCCATCGGTTTAACAATATTTACCCAGGATGTACTTTTTTTTAATTACTAAAGTCTGTGTTTTCCTACTTTTGTTTTGTGGTTTAGTTAAAGTACTAGTGCCATGTAGCTTGCATCATCCTGTTCAATGATTATATTTATTGTTAGTCTGAGCTTTTCGAAAATGTCAGTGAATGCTAGAACAAAGGGGGTGTAGGTTTAATCCTTGGCCGTGATATAGCCAAAAAAATTATTTTTTTAATTGACTTTTAACGTATTTGACATTTTACAAGTATAATCTAACTCCCAATGAAATATTAATACTCCAATGCACCCCATCACTGAAATATGGCTCCCCCTCTCCAGAATAAACGTCGATACACAGGCCCCTACTCAACACACACCCATGGTGTTCATGGCAAAACAATGTTAAAGGCAATACATTGTTTGCTGTGCTCACTTCTCCACTTAACAGTACAGTTTAGTTTGTGTATAGAGACCCTGGAAAAGTGAGTGTGCACGTTCACTACGCACAAACACTTCCACAGACGAAAGCAAATGTGCTGATGCTAACTTTGTCAAAAATGCATTAGTTTGTACACTTACGCTATTCTGCCAATGCACCGATTTTTGCCGTAGCAGCTCCCATCATTGATCAAGACATACGTTGTTCTGCCATAGCTTTCGCTTGGTTAGTGCGGCAAAACAATGTATGTTTTAATTTATGCAAATTATTTGAATATGTGGGACTTTGTAGCATTATTTTTGATTGTACATAACAATGACCTCTTCATTTATTCTCAGTCAGAATACGAAATATTTAACAAAACTACCGATAGAACTGTACTTCTGTAAAGTTTTAAACCTTACTGGAAAAGACGCTAAGTGTAAATACATTGTTTTGCCGTAGCACGACCGTCCTAAACGGTTGGGTTATGTCAATGGTCTCACAGCCAGGAAGGATAGACTTTACGAAAGCATATTGATGAACAATTTATGAACATGCATGTAGATTGAGCAATATCATAATGATTACATTATGTTCATGATAGGTTGTGAAAGCAAATTGTGGAAATTTTTGTATGGACCTATAAATAGAACAATATTGGGGGTGGTTAATCCTCTCTCCAGCCCCTTAATAGTCAAAAACTCATTGGTAGTGGACTATTTGTGGAATCTATCACTTGTTTTAGGAATTTCTTTTTGGAGAAAATTATTAACAAAAAACCCAATAAAACTGGGGGAAATAAACAATGTTCTTTGTTTAGGGGTATCACTTTGCATGCTTTAAGTTGTGTCATTTGTTTGCCCTTTATGTGTTTCTCCACAGTCAACGAAGGGACCAAATGTTGCAATCACTGCCTCAGGAACTGCCACTGCTGCATCTAGACCACAAGAGACTAGTTCGTCCAAACCAACACCTTCTAACACAGGGAACGCTAACCTGTCTTCAGTTTCTAAAGCGACGTCTTCACAAGCCATTCCATCACCATGCAAATCACTTACCAGCACTGCAGGTGCTATTCATGCTGCATCCCCCTCTAAGGCACAATCAGAATCCTCAGTGAAGACCAATGTGCCTTCAGCCACCGATTCATCAAAGCTTCCTGGATCACCCAAGCACTCCACAAACACTGCATCCACAAAGGTGCCTGAAACATCCAAAGACACTGGTCCTCAGACCAACAAGGACTCCTTGGTCAGCAAGCCAACCAAATCTGTGCAGGTTCAGGATGAACCGGAAGTAATAGATCTTACCGATGAACCTGATCCACCTGCCAAACCGTCTGCACCTAGTCCGCACAAACAACAGGATGCACAGCCTGCCAGCAAGCACACAACACTGACCACTAGATCGCCTCACGCACTTGTCAACTCACCTCCAGTTTCTTCACCAAATACAGTAGTTTCAAGAGCAACAAGTGTTTCTGCAGGCAGCAGCAGTATAACCGCACCTGCAGCTTCAGGGACAGTATCAGCAAATACAAGACAAGTGCAAAGTGGTACCCAAATCTTGTTTCACAAAATGCCACCCAGAGACCTGGCCAACGATCACCTGCTGTACAACCCGCGTCGCAAACAAGGACTGGTTCCACCTCGAGGCAAATACCGTCTCCTAAAAGAAGCTCCCCAGGTGTTCCACAAAGCGTCTCACCTCAGGGTAATAAGCAATCTTCATCTGCTGCAAACCTTCAGGTAAGCTCTTGGGTATTAGTATTCTTATCCATCCATAATTTTCAGACCTGATTGTTACGCCTTCACCCAGCAAATGTGGTGCCAGTGGCATCATGTTTTCGGGTTCTCCATCTGTCTGTTTGTCTGTTTGTCTGTCCTGCTTTCTCGTTATCCTGATATTTAAAGAACCACTGGAGATATGAACTTCAAACTTGATGATAGTATTTATCACCATAGGGAGACAATCTGATTAGATTTTGGAGTAGCTAAGTCAAAGGTCATTGTTATAGTTGTCAACTGATGAAATTCCAGGTATTAGCCTTATTATAACAGTCGTATCAGATTTTGGGTTTGTAGTCCGTAGACCAAGGTCAAAGGTCAGAGAGGTCAATCAACAGAGATCCAGCTATCAGCCTAACTGTCAATAATAATCATCATTACTGTAGAATTTAAGAAAAGCATGCAGAAGACTCATGCCTGTGTGTGAGTGATTTTAAAATATTGTTTATCTTAGATTTTTTTTCAAGAAGGGGTTTGCTGCAAAATACGTGATCAGTGTAGTTATATTGCAGAGAAACAAATCAAACCAGAACAACTTTCTAAAGCCTTGTTTTGTTTCAATGTTATACTACAGCTCAGAGAGGTCAATTATAGAAATTCCAGCTATTAGCCTAACTGTTAATAATAACCATCATTACTGTGGAATTTAAGGAAAGCATGCAGAAGATTCATGCCAATGTGTGCGTGCTTACTAAAGCCTTGTTTCGTTTCAATGTTGTACTACAGCTCAGGAATGTGAATCCTCCAGTGGTGACCACTCTGCTGCAGGGTACTAACGTACGCCCTCAGGTGGTGAGCCTCCAGCATGGCCCCAGACAGAACCAGATCGCTCCTGCAGGTAGAGGTCACCCTGCAACCTCTCAGGTAGCCGTATCTCAGGTCCCCATACAGCAGCAGCAGACCACTACCATCAGCAGCCTGCAACCCGGGCTGACAACCATACAAAACCAAGCCAGAATGCAGGGTCATGTGGCCATACAGCAGAGGCTTCAACAGCAACAGCAGCGGATATCTCTGCAGATGCTGCAGCAGGGTCGACAGGGTGTCCATCAGCTTCCAGGGGCTGCTGCTTCGGCTGCGGCTCTTGCCATAAGACAACCGGGCCCGACATGGTTGCAGCAGCCCAGGCAACAGCTTCAAGTTACCTCTACCCAACAGGTAAGTGTATGAGAGGCCTATGAAAAAGTGGTTGCTTTTCTTCAATTTGCAGATTAATTCTTGCTGCATCAGAAGACTCTGGCATTTCCACTCATATTTTTAAATATCTGTTCATGAAGAAAACACTGATAATTCTAAATTCAGGTTTAGCCTTTATTACACAACTGGCACGGCTTCTGTGTAATATTGGCTTTGTTTAATACATGAATGCATGAGCTGGTACACAAGCTTTTGGTTTCCACGGCTCCTTCACTTGCTAGCTTTTACTCTCACAAACTGCACATTTTTCTGTCAATCATTATTTTACTCTCCCTGATGAAGATATAAATTGTAAGTAGCACTTCGTCTAGAATAATTGTTTTCTGTATTTTTAAGAAGACGTTACACTTATTATTAAAGTATTGCAATGTTATTTCTTTCAGGGATGCCAGTTTTCAGGCAATAGCCTGAATTCAGGCCCTGGCGAGTTATTTTCAGACCATAGTTAAGGCTTTTTTGTGAACAAAATAGCTCATTCTAGGTGATTTTCAGGCCTTCTGATCAATTCTAACTGGCATCCTTGTTTCTTTGCTCCTACAGCAAAGTTTGCAAGTGTGTCAGCAAATCCAGGCTGCACCTGGTCAGGTACAGGTGCAGATGGTGAGACCTCTTAGTGCAGGCGCAGTTCAAACTGTCACCACCTCTACTTTACAGCCCGGCTCAGCTCAGCTAGCCCTCCAGCAGCAGCAGCAGCAGCAGCAGCAGAACCAGCACTACCAGAACCTAGCCCGTAGTCAAGCTGCCAGCACCCAGGACCAGATCCAAGCCCAGGAGAGAGCCCATGCTGCCAACCATGCCCAAGCTGTGGCCAAGGCTGCCAGGGAGCAACGGGAACAGGAGCAGCATCAGCAAGCCAGGATTGCCGCTCAAAGGCTACAGTCCAGTCAGCTGGAGCAGCAGCAGACGCAGATGGTTCAGATCAAGAAGCTGCAGGAAGAGATGAGTGTTATTCAGACCAAGGCACAACAACATCGCAACAAGAAACGACTCATTTTGGTAAGTGTATAGTATCTAACCTTATATTTTTTCCCCATGAAAAATGTAGCAAGTGGAGGATCATGGGTTTGATGCTGTACATGTAAGGCATGCTGTATGTAATGCAGTGTCTCTGTATTAATCTTCTTTTGTTTGGGGGAGGGGGGGGGGGGGGAATTTTGCACTTGGCCTGTGTTACGTTTGGGAATTTGTGTGTACTGGGTGAATCACAAGATACAGAGTTTGAATCCCTGTTGCAGCAGTAACATGCTATAGCAAGACATTGGTCACACTTGACCCAGGTGTAGGAAGAGGGTACATTTTACTTGAATACATTTGGTGCTCTAGAAGTGCATAATATTAAAATGTGATGTGCGCTGTACAAAAGCAGCATAATATAGTCAAACCTGCTTTAGTGACCATCTGTCTACAAAGACCACCTGTCTACAACAAGCACATTTTTTGCCCCTTGAAAAATGGTTTCTCATTAAAACATGTACTAAAGGAACCTGTCTACGAAGCCCACTTTTTGTGTTTCCCTTGGGTGGTCGCTGTAGACAGGTTTGACTATATTACTACATGTATTATTGTAATTATTCCTATTCATGCTGCCAATCAACATCCAAGTTATTTCAATTCTTCAAAATTTCAGTCTCAGATCAAAAGAGGTGAAGAATACCAGCAAGCCCTCAGGTCCAAGCTATCAGGCAGCAAGCAATCCGGAATGAATCGCCAGGTATTCCAAAGTTGTCAAAGACAACTGCAAGATGTGCAGGTAAGTTAACTTTGAAGGAACATTGTGCCCTGGCTCACATTCAGGGTCCCTTTGTGCAAAAATAAGATAAATGTATTATTTGATATCAATTAGATTATTCTGATTTGAATTAATTTTTGTTGTTGATTATATCTAAAATTGTAGCTAAATATGTTAGAAAACAACAGGGTGGGGAAGGTCGTAATTTAGATAATAATGTACATTTATTAAAGCCAGGATAATAATCGGGGCAGCACCAGGAGCATCACGACGTGACGGACATGTGCGCTAAAGAAGAAGCCACAGGGTTCGTACGGGTCAGGGAATTTCTGGAAAGTCAGGGAATTTGTCTATTTCTTCTGGAAAGTCAGAGAAAATTTTTTTTTCTCAAGATGTTTGTTAAAATGGCATTTAATTTGTCTTGTGACCAAAGGAAAAAACATTTTGTAAAATCTGTGGTTCAGGACCTTTTTCGTAAAAAATTACTCGCAATATCTTTAGGACCTACTAGTATCGTGTCTATTGTGTCTTTCATACATGTATGCAAGATGTTTGTGTGTGTAAATGACTTGCAGTGACAGGTGCGGTGCATGGTGCCGGTGTGTGTACATATTACACGAATGCTGCATGCACGCTGTACGATTGACTTTTTGATCGAGCTTGTGCTTTGATTTTGATTAAAAGTTTGAATGAAGGTGTTTTACCCCAGGGTTTTACCACAGAATATTCATAAAACAATAAATTAAATGTAAATAACTATGCATCATGAGCCACTCGTGTTTTCAAGAACCCCTTTAAAAATCGTGTTGCTCTTTACTGGAATATCGCAACCCTGAATCGCATTTGATTCCACATTTGGCGTCCATTGTGCGAGCGCGAGCATACAGCCAGTTAGCTAGCCTAGCCTCGTGGTTGCTGCTTTCCCCAAGGTCCGCAATTAAGGCACACTTTTTTCTGTCAGCAAAATATCGAAAGTCGGGGGTGCGCCTTATATAGTCAGGTACAGGATATTTGAGTCCTCTAATGCTACTTTTTAGTGGTTTTTAAAAATCTCTGTGTCTCAACATGAATTACATAATGCAAATAAAGAATAGGATCTACTATTTGAAGTTAAACTACGTTCCTAATTTGAAAGGAAGAGAGTTTTTTTTCTTTCAGTCTCAGTAAATTCTGCCCTGTCACAAGGCACTTTGCCAGCCGAAGCTCTCTCGTGTCTTAAGCTCACTCACCTGTATGATGCAGCTCACTTACACAGGGGATAACGAATCACCACGCGAAAACTAGCTTGTACACATTTCTGTTTGGACTCGGAGGAAACAAATTCTGTCATCTTTGGTTTTAAAAACAACATTGTTACTGGGTCTAAATTAGTTCACAAGCACTTCAACTGTGCCTCGTAATAAAATGAAAGTATTTTCGAACACTGTCACTTTAATAAGAGCCGATCTGATGTTAACAAAAAGACCAATGTTGGCTTTTTTTGGTGGCTTTTTGTTAACCAGATCAGATCGCGTCTTATTTCAGTGTTCGAAAAGCACTTTCACTTTCATTATACGAGGCACAGTTGAAGTGCTTGTGAACTAAGTTAGACCTAGGTCTAGTAACAATGTTGTTTTTAAACTAAAGATGACATTTTTTTTTCAGATTTTTTCAGATTTTTTTTTTTTTTTTTGGGGGGGGGGGGGGGATCTTCGAAATAGGGGTGCACCTTATAGTTTTGTGATTTGCTTCCTAGTATTGCGATGATGTATAGTTGTACGCTTTAAATTAAGACTAAATTAAGAATTATGTTCATCATTGAAAATGGTCGTGGAAATTTTACATTATCCTGCTCTGGAAAGTCATGGAAAGTCATGGAATTTTAAAAATGTGTAAGTGTACGAACCCTGAGCCACCATTATTATTATTATTACACTAGACTTGTTCTTTGTAGTGAAACCAAAGTCTTGTGCCTATTATTATACTCCAATCACCTCTTGTATCTGAATTTTGCAGGAACAGGAACGAAAGCTGCGTAGTGAGTTGAACCATGTGGAGAAGGGACTTGAAGAATGTAGGCTAAAAAGCAATCAACTTGACCAACACATTCATCTGGCAACCACAGCCGCTGCCTCAAGATTATCTCCACAAGAACTCCAGAAACATCAATTACAGCAACAGCAGCAGCAACTGAGTCAGCAACTGGCACAACGCCAGATCCAACAGCAACAGCAGCAAAAGCTTCAGCAACAGCAGCAGCAACAGCAGCAGCAAGTGCAGTTGCAACAACAGAAGGCAAACGAAACTACCAGACCCAAACATCCCGCACAGCTGCCTGACCTGAACATAGTGTTAGACGTTCCCCGTCAATCCCTCTACACTCCTATGCCGATCAAACCTGTGCTGGAGATCAAGCACTCCCAAGAGGGTATTGTTCTCTCCTGGAAGGCCGACCCAGATGGAGGTGCTTCAAAGATAGACGTCAAGCGATACCTCCTCTACGCTTACCAGGAATCCGAGTCGGCGACGCCCAACACCGACCTGTGGAAGAAGATCGGTGCCGTGGATGCGCTCCCCTTACCCATGGCATGCACTCTCACCCATTTCAAAGCTGGCAGCATGTATCATTTTGCTGTGTGTGCCATCAGTAAGCACAGTAGACCTGGAGTGTTTAGCAACATTGGCAGCATCAATCTACCTTGACAGTTTTCTTATAGCATATTGGCTTCCAAACAATGTAACAATCACTGATTGTGGTCTGAGTGAGAAACATTCCTTGAGCTCTACAGTTGGTTATCATTATCTCATCGATGCCTATGTATATGTATCTATGTATTTATAAACAGTATGCATATTAATAATTTTGTGTTACCGAAATTGTATAAATGTATCATATTTTCTTTTAGATACATTTTTAATCTGTTCTTTTCTTTTCATTGTTGTGTTCAATTATTAAACAATTTTTTTTAATGGAGAACTGTTCATACTCCTAACTTTTCTCCCAATCTTATGTTTACCTTTACAGGAGTAGCAGAGTACGCACATTTGTGGCATGAATACTTACAGATGAAATATTTTGATTTTAATTCGACTGTTTTAATTTACTTTAATTTATATTCAACTATTTTACTTGACATTGTAACTTGTGTTTTCATTTTCAAGTTGTTTTTAAAGGGCCAACCTTTTTCCCCATTTTCGTATGGTTTAACGTGTTGAACGGTGGACAGCATTTTAACTTGCGACAACTTTTCAACCTCCAATTATTGTTTTTTGTTGAGATGCTGTCCAAGATGTGATGTATACAGCAATACGAATTCGAAATTATTACAATGATGTATATGTGCATCCTGTATAGTACTGGGGGTGTTTCACAAAGATCCTAAGTTGAACTTATCTCTAAGTTGGACTTAACAACTATGGAAAGCCGATATCATATTTGAAAATATTTTGTAAAAGTTATTTCCAAAGGCATAAAATGTTAATTCAAGTCATTTATATTTTCTATTATCAAGGAGATTTCATGTTCTTGATGTGGAATTTATAAAAAAGTCTAAAATACTTAAATTTTCGCTTCTGAATATATTTATTTTAAGGCTACAAATGGCTCTCCATAATTTTTAAGTCCAACTTAAAGTTAAGTTCGATTTAGGATCTTTGTGAAACACCCCCTTTTGATTGATTTGGTTACTGTTGTTCATCTACATGTATGTCGCGTGTACAGTATAAAGGTGCTTTTTGTGGTCATGTTGATAATTATTTAGAGTACCCTAATCCAATTCTTTGTATTGGCCTTGAACCAGTAAAGGCTCGTTCCGATATCACACAGCAAAACCGCCGCCCTTTTTTTTTTGACATGAAGTCTAATACGTTTGACATTTCTGTATCTTATAACACAGATCTCAGTGAAGATGGCAATATCTTTGTTGTGTGCAGTTACCATTCATCTACACTTTGAAACAAAAATGTTGTTGTTTTTTTTTTTTTTGGGGGGGGGGGGGGGGCGGGGTGCGCTGGTTTATCATGCCATATCTGAACAAGCCGTACTGGTTCAAGAATTCGGTACTGGACTGAGAGGAGGGTATCGTACATAGTTATCGTGACAGCCCATGTTTTATTATGCTATCACCTAACATCATTCCTTCATTTTCCATTGTAAAAGCATTGATGAAAACAATCCTTATTGACTCATAGTAAAACAGAAAAAGATCCCAGATCCCTCTGAAAGTATCAGATTGTCTATGTATTTACAGAAAGGCAGTGACAAATGTTTTGTTGCACAGAATTATTGTCCTTCTTTTGTAAACCAAGTTTACTGTTCGTTTTTTTTGAGAGAAAAAAAAGTCGTTCATTGTCTAAAATGAGCAGCATTGTTTCACTCTTGGCCTATGTCAATCTGTATAGAAAATTCTAGTTTGTACATATTTCATTTCAGCACAAAAAAAAACCCAGTGTATAACACAAGAGATGCAGGCGAATTATAAAATGTAATTAAATAAAAGCTTTGTTAGATAACTAGATCAGAAATTAGTGCTGTATATAATTACTGATGCTTGTACATGTTATGCTTGCAGGCATACAGACCATTGTTAGTCTGATTCCCAGTCTGTCTGTTTCTGTTTTGTTTTATTTGTATTTAAGGATTCTAAGCCAGTTTAAGAAATGCATAGGCTGAGTCATAACAACTGTATTCCTGTAAATTACTTCTCTTATTTTTAAATGTCTATTTTCATATTGCATTTGTAAATTTTACAACATGATTTACTGTATGCTTATCCAGTAGAATGTTTTTAAAAAGGGGGAGGGGTAAGGGGTAGACCGAATCAAACTGTGAAAGACAGAATAATGTAGGGAGTTTGAGAGTATGGCAAGAAGTTCAATCACACATCCAAGAATTATTTACCTGCAGCAGTGCTGATATCTATGGTTCACACAATTTCCTTAGACATGTATTGGCAAACTGAAGTTAGCTACCAGTCTTATTTCCAATACTGAAAAGTCTCTCTGCAATAGTTTGGCCAGGAGGGATTAGACCTCCCAGCATGGTCACTGACAGGTGGTTATCTCATCAAATCAGCTCTCTATTAACTTAAGAAAAGGGGATCATGGGGGACCAACGGGTACCGCGTAGGCATTTTTTGTTATGTAGAGGCCGCAAGTAGCTACAAGTAGTGCAGTCCTGCTTTTAAAACATCTTGATGAACTAGTTCAGCCAAAGTTTGAGTAGTGCCATAACACAACACAGTTTAGTTATAGTTGTAATCACTTGAAAGGTTATCGATCATATCCTCATGCAATTGCAGAGATGCCAACCCTCCCGATTTCATCGGGAGGCTCCCGATAATTCACCCCAACTCCCGACCTTACGATTTCCATCCTTATCCTCCCGATTAAAAAAAAAAAAAAAAAAAAAAAAAAAAAAACGATTTTTTTTTTTTTTTTTTTTTTTTTTTTTTTTTTTTTTCTTTTTTTCCCCCAGTATATATATCTGTGAATTGAATGAGAAATATCGTCTGTTAACTTTAGCATGTAGTATTTCCACTATGTTAAAAGATAAAGTAGCAAAAGATTGTTTCAGCATATGGATCGCTGTAACCAATGCGTGGATATTGACACAGAATCCAAATGGCGGAAAATCAGCAAAAGAAGACCAAGAAATGGTCTCAGAAGTATAAGACCGAAACAGTATCAAGTACCCGTGTATTCAGAAGTCTGAAAGGAATTCATCATGCATTTTGTACAATTTGTAATTTATTTTAAAAAAAAGTGGGAATTATTTAACTAAATACACATGTAAAATGCTGCGAAATAAGGCTCAGATTGCACCAGAGATCATCTAGAACCCCAGAGCTTCCAGGGCCCTAAAGCAGGCCCTGGACCCCGGCCGCATGGGTCGGGCACTACGCGCTCGACATGTGCGCTACGCGCACATTATGTGGTGTCGGTTACAAATCCTCCCTATTTCTGTTTTCCAAAAGTTGGCATCTCTGCAATTGGGATACTATGCAATGTCTAAAATGAACTGAGCATAGCCACATGGTATTATTCATTTCTAACTGACTGTTTGCATTTCATCATCAAGTACAATAGATGATACAAACAAGTCCTGTCTCATAGCGTAGGAAGACAAAGTACATTTGGAGCACAGCCAAGAGTTGCCTACCCGGTTTCTGGACAAGATTTCTTTTCTTTAAGTTTTCTTCAAGGAAAAATTGATGGCACATGCTAGATATTGATATTAGTATAATAATTTTACCACAAATATAGTATGGAGAATACCACGTCCCATCAAGAGCTCTGATCATTAGATTAACATACCAAACTTAAAATCACCAGGGCAGATTCATGTATGTTTTGTTTCTGATAACCATCAAGAAGTTTAGTATCTATCGCAAAGTAACAATGACACAGACAATCCCAGACAGTGTTTAAGAGAGGGTCTATTGGTTCATAATTCATTTAGTCTTATATCTTTAAACCTTAAAGCACTACTGCAAAATCCTTTCTAGCGCCATCTCGGGTCAGCTGAAGCAGTATGGTTCCGTAACTCGCTGCTCCCGTAGCTGTGCTGTTTGTTTAGCTTTGAGTCCTCTCTGTCTGCGAGGTGGGAATTAGGTATTGGTATACGCACTGTTGGCAAGTTGAAATGAGATGCTGCTGTGCAGTATGCTGGGGGGGAAATTTCATCAGTTAACTATGCTTTAAATATTTAATAGTGAAATGGGGAGCGACTATTAGATTGCATTGAAACAACTTGAATCCCAACAAGCATGCATTTTCATGTATATACCTTGTCTTTGAAATAGGACGCACAATTCTGAAAGTATAAGTGGATGTTATGAAAATGAATTACAGCATTACAATGTGTGTGATAATTTTCACTTCATGACCAGTGCTATTACATTATGTTTTAGTCAGAAGCATTTTAATGGACCATTTTGTGTTCCATAAAGATGGTTTATTGAGAACTTTGCTTCTTCTTGGTGTGACAAAATTTGGCATGCATCTGTGTAAAGGTGTTGTTGTAGGGCATAGCCTGTTCAAGTTTTTATAGATTATAGGAAAGAGACATTAAGATCTAGCATATTTAGGAGAAATTTATGATACAGAATCAAAGTAGTTTTATTGGAGTTAGGCCTTGTAATGTTGTGTGTGTTGGTAGTGTTTTTACTGTAAATAAATGTAAAGTATGTTGTGTTGTTTGAGAAAAAATGAAATTGTTTTGGTTTCTTATGCTCGAGAGATATATACATGAAGCGTTTCAGATTTTGTCAGAACAACATTTGTAAAAAACCCATCTTATTGGTTATTGTAAGAATAAAACATTTGTACTATTACATGCAGAGTCACAGAACTGATAATTGCTTGACATTATTGCTAAAACAGAAGTTTTTTTCCTATTTGTTCGTATTCCTATACCTGTATTGCCATCCCTCATTTCCCTATCTTCAGTTTCTTAATGTATACACTCTACTTTCTTAATACCTTTTTCTCTCCATCTATTCAAGAGATCAATGTTAGTACCTGAGGTTCGTACTGCACTGCTTTGAAGGTAATCTCCAATTTTTTCCACCAAAACTCGATTTAAACAAGGTATTCACATTTACAAAGTAAAGGCATTAATGTACAAGATCGTAACATACGTTGATGTAAAAAGAGAGAGAGAGAGGGAAAGGGGGAGGGCGGTACTAGAACATGCATTTGCTTATCCCCTCCCTTCTGTCTACTAATTGTATTGGCGTTCTTTGTTTGTTTATTTAGTAATGTTGAGCTTTGCTCTGCTTGTCGGATCCCTCAGACAAATTTGTAAGCCCCCTCACCTTTTCTTTCTGCGGTTGAGATGGTCAGGAAAGAAGAGAGAAAGAGAGAGAGGGGGGGGGG